GGATGTGAGGAAGACTTGAGGAATCTCTTGATGCAGTTGAAAGAAGAGAGTACAAAAGCTGCTCAATTATTTAAAAAACCTAAAATTATGTCAACATGCAATGACAAGCTAATGAAAACAGGCAGAGAAGCAGGTGAAGTACTAACAGACTTTATTTTGTTAGGCACAAAAATTCATAGGGATTATGACTGTGGCCATGAAATAAAGAGACATTTGCTGCTTGAGAGAAAGACTAAGACAGATCAAGACAAAATATTAATGTACGCAGAGGCATCATACTGACAACAAAGGTATGAACTGTCAAGGCCATAGTTTCCCCAATTATAACATTTATCTGTGAAAGCTGGGCCATCAGAACAGCTGAATGAAGAAAAAAATATGTCTTTGAATTGTGGTGCTGGAGAAAATTGTTGAGCTGTAAGAAGAATGAATAATTCAGTACAAGATCAACTAAATCCAGACTACCCATTAGAAGCACTAATAATAAAGCTAAAGTTTAAATATTTTGGACATAGGTGTAAAAGTAAAAACAAGAGTTATTGGAGAAGATTCTGATGCTTGGAAAAACCAAAGGGAATTGAAAAAGGGGCTACCAGAAGACAAGGTGACTAGATACTCATGCTGTTGACACAAGCAAGAGCTTACAGGAAGACAAAGAAGTGGTTACCAATAGACAATCCTAGTGAAATGAGGTTCATCAGGGTACGAGGAGTTGAAAACAACTGAACAACAACAACAAATTGATCATCAAGATTTTTGCAACCCAAATCTACTAGCCCTAATATATGTATGAAATGAATGAAGTTTTGAAAGGAATAAGAATATGGGAAAGTATTGCCCATATTCGGTCCTGGTATTGAAAACAAATTCCTGCAAATTCCCTGGGCTAAGACCAGGGTGCTCAGCTACACCCTGATGCTTAATTCTAAGGGTACACCGATTATTCAGGATACTGTTTTGTACAGTACAAAATACTGGTGGACCTTGGGTTTCTGATTAGGTTAGCTAGATGCAGCAAGCCTAAATGATACTAATATACCTCCTTTATTGCTGCCCCTGACTTGCAAGCCAACCCAGAAGTGCAGAGAAGAGCAGCAATGAAGGCGAGTGGCTTGAAGGCTAAATTTTATGAAGAATGGTTAAAATGACTGGGTATGTTTTGTCTAAAGAACAGAAGGCTAAGTGAGACATGATAGCAGTCTTTCAAAATCCATTTAGAGCTAATTGCATAAAGTACTTGTTCAAGCATCATAGAATGGTCACAGACCTTCCCAATATGAGATTATATTTCTAGATGCCTCCTTTGTTGGACAATAGACCAAAGTGTCAGGAGGAATAATATCCCATACTTCTTCATACTTTATAACCTGGTTCTCCAACATAGCACCTGTAGGCACCAATGTGCTCAAGGATAACCTTACCCCCCCCCACCATGACCTTATGTTCCATCCCCCACCTAGCCTTTAAAAAAAATATTTTCACTGAAAAAAAGGGAGTCTGGCATGCTTCAAGGCAAAGTACCAACCTCAAACATACTTATTTCTGGCCATGTTTCTGGGCCCTGCTCATATCCTGGAGGTCTTTTTAGAAAATAAAGATAAGAGGTAAAAATGTAATTATCTATTTATATACTTGCTCACCTACCAAAAAATGACAGAAATAAATGAAGTGGTAGAAATCATCCTGGGAATCTAGAATGAGTAACTGAGAGAACCATATCAGTTTGCCTCCTAGTAAATTCCACCAGCATTGTAGTTTAGATTGAGAAATCAAAACAAAACATCATGGAAGAAGGCAAAGGAAAATCACTTCTACTGCTGCCAAGAAACTACAGTACATAGATGTACAGTATTCATAAAGTTATTAGGAACTGAGCTCAACTTGAAAAATGTGGCAGCCATTTTTGCAACAGTACAAGGTGTCTGAAAATCCACTCACCAGGCCCCAAAGTTGGGGGCTCCTGAGGTCCATGAGATAATGGATTTTTATGATTTTAGAAATAATTCTGAGGACTTTATCAGAAGGATCCCAAACTATTACAACAAATCTATCCCTAGGCAAAGGAACACCTGTTTGAGCTTCCTCAGACATAATTATGGCAAAACAATAGTTGAGTCACTCTTATCATCCATAGTGAATGCAACAGATACAAAATTGTTAAACTTCACATTCTCTTTAAATTTTAACATTACCTAGGAGGGAAAAAAATCTACATTTCTATCCAGCACTTCACATGCCGACAGAATAACATGCATGATAAATGGACACGGGGTGTTCAACCTTCTCTGGCCTTTACCAGACAGAAAAGTGCTATATATAAATGCTATATAGCATTTAGAACACAGAACTGTGGCATAGGTAATTTTGTCTATGTTTTGTAACTTATATTTTCATTATTTCTTTGTAATGTAAGGTACCTGGAATCTTGGGAGGCAGGCAGGCAGGCAGGATCATTCCCCACCATTCCCCCCATGATCTGCTCTTTATGTGGGGCTCTGTACCCATTGTCAAACCTATTCCATGGTTCCCTTAATAAGCTTGTAAGAAAACTCTTATCCTTGGACTGATCATTATTCATGAGCACAGAGTTACTCATAAGGAACTCTACTTTAAGTCAAGTGAACTTTCCTTAATAATTGTAGTGGGAGTGCCTTGCTTTCTCTTGGACCAACAACTAAGAGAATGTATTATTTGCCATATCTGCAAATAAGTTTATTGCTTCTCCATACCAAACTCTATCTACTAGGCATACATCTTTTATGCCATAGTTGTAAGCCCTGTATTTTTAGAACTTAAGGGGAGGGAAACCCTCCTAACTATACATATTAAATAAATGGAACATGGTCATATAACAGTATCCTTGAGAATCAGATGTGTTGCTTCCAGACTAGAACTCCTTAAGGCTACTAAGCATTTTTTTATACAGCATTTACTATATTATAATAGTCAACAAATTTCCATATATAGTGTTTGGTCATAGGTACATCTCATTCAGCAATGGTCTAATGTTAATTTAAAAATCCCTATACGCAGGTTCTACCCATTGTGTTTCTTCCTGTTAAAAGTCTGGAGGGATCAATCATTAATAACTTTTTAATTGACCTTTGAATAGCCTCTCTAAATTAACACAACTTTAGCTGCTGTCCCTATGGGTTGAGGAGCCAATCCCCCTGTCATAATCAACAGGAAACAGTAACATGGACAGAACCAGCAAACAGGAAATCTTTAATTAAATGCAAAGAAGGACTAAAAGCTTCAGTACCTGTAGTGTTTTGTCTGTCTACCATGGCCAGGCTGATGCTAAAAACCAGTTTATTGCTCCTCCCATGTGCACATTCAAGTAAAACATAAAAGTGTTTAAAAAACACCCTAGAACAGAAAGTACTAGGCTGCAAAATTTTAATGATTTTTCATTTTTTTTTTCCCCAAAACATGTCTATGAACAAGGTAAGGCAATTCCAGAAAAAAGGCTATTGCAGAATCAACTAGATGGGAAAAGCTGTGGAATGCTGTCGGTGACGATCTGTTTTATTACAGTACATAGAAAATGAGTCATGCTTATGTTGGTTCTCAGTTCTGGCCTAGAGAGAACCGTTTTCACAAACGGCACTGAAAGGAACAAACTCACCTGCTGTGTATATACCATTATTTCTTATACCATAATCCAAAAAATATCTTCCTTATAATGGGAAAAATATGCTATTTGATCAAAGTAATCTACTCAGAAATTGACAATTCAGTACCCTTAATGACACACCAAAATCTCCTGCCCAGTTCATTGGGTAAAGAGAGCCAGATTGTCTCAGTCAGAAAACCTGGGGCTATCAGTAAACGTACAACATGTGGAAAGGAAACTACCAAGTGGTGGTGGTTCACATAAACCCCTGTCCTGGCATTGAATTGGTACAGCCCATATGTAGATTTACCACTGAAATGAAAAGCAGGCCTAAGTAACCTAAACCAGTCAGGCCGCAAGATGCATATGTGCATGTCTTTAAAACAATCCATGTAGATATATTTGCTGCTGGAAACAGTGCTACATGTGCAGGAGTTGCCTTTACTGCATACATAAATGTAGGGAATCTCCCATAAAACCTTTTATTTTTTATAATTTTAACACAGATCACTACAGTATACATTTGTCTTAAAACAGTCCTCTTCAACTTTCAATCTTTTTAAACATTCACATTTTCTATAATTAACAAAATGATGCTTTCTGGATCATGTGTGAAATATCTTGAGGCATTAAGTGGGATGGGACAGGATGAATCTCACACCTTCTGTGCTGATTGCATCGTCTTTAGTGACACCCATCTCACATTATGAGAATGTTCATATATTAGGACAAATCAAAAAGTTCCAAGAATTCTCCCTTACAGTGAATGGCGTATGTGTCTTTTCATTATGCCACTTCTAACCTTTTGCTAACAGAAGTGCCTTAAAATCCAGATATTCCTCCTTGTTCATCGCTGTTCCATGATTTCTGACTTCAGCTTGTTTACAGCAACACATGCCAAAGATCTTGATTCACACATCACAAAAAAATCACTGTTCAGGCACTCCCACTGGCAGGAGGACTCAAGTGAGAGGGATTAAGCAGCATGCATCAGCACTCTTGTTCCTTCCCAGTAAACTAGATTTCTTTGGAATGCTGGCTTCTATCACATGTGAATGCAACTAATGAGTGTCATTCGCATGACTGAGGGAAACAGAATCCATCAGCAGCAAATAAAAAAGAGAAAATGGACAAGAATTTGAAGCAAACTTCTCTAAATTAATAAAACTTTTTTCTTGTCCATTTGTGGTGTTAGCCTATGTAAGGTTACCTGGAAAAGAGAGAGAGATTAACTGATAACAGCATAATATTAGGTAAAAAAAAAAACTGGCTATAAATTCTATCCTCTGGGAGGGGAACAGAAGAGCAAAGATACTCAGGTCCTGGAGTAGAACTACAACTCACATCATCTTTGGGGTTGATGGGAGTTGTAGGCCAATTGTTCTGGAGGGCACTAGGTTGAAGAAAGTTAGATTAGAAGAATGGATCTGATAACTCAGAGATGCACCTTATTCAGGAAGGTATATGAAGGGCACTGAAAGCATTACCTGATTTTGATTGGCCTCATACAGCTCTTGAGCCGACGTGATTCGCCTTCTTTGCAAGACCTCATGGGTAGAACTTGGGAAGTCGCTGCCCCCTTCAGTACCACGCTATAATTCTTGCCCTGATTATTGGCCCAGTAAACTCCTTCATCCGTCTGATAGCGCACCACAAAATCAAGCCGGGCTCCTCCTTCTTCCTCATCTTCCTCATCCTCATCACCAAAATCCAGGCGGAAGGCAAAGCGGTCAGTCAGGCCTCCATCTGGTGAGCCCCCTGGAATATAGAGGGCGGGATAATCCCGGTGACTTTGCCACCGGTCTTTGCTGGCCCGCACATGCACAGCCTTGTGGTAAGAAATGTTGAGCACACGCACAGTACCACGTAGCACCCGTGGCTCTCCAGGCTCTGGTGGCAAAACCTCTTCCAATTCCACCTTGGCCTGGCGCAGCCGTTCAAGCTTCTCATCCTCACCTTGTCCCACTGGTTGCAACACAAAGGATGGCAAAAGGTAGGGGGTGCTTGTGGAGGGAGGAAGGGAGGGCAAGGAAGGCACCACCTCAGGGGGAGACTCTGGAGAAGGTGGTGGCCAAGGCTGGTAGCGCCGCCAGCGTGCCAAGGGCAGGCCCAAGGCATCAGCAAACAGCACATGCCGGCCTGCGGTGTGCTGAGAGGGCTCCTCCATGGGGGTGGCAGCCGCAGTGGCATGCTGGGAAAACAGTCCAGGGTGCCCTTGAGCATGCTGGGAGGGGAGCCCTCGGCTGTCCTGCACTGCATGCTGGGAAAGTGGCCCAGGCAGGCCTGGGGGATGCTGAGAGAGCGGCCTGGCCAAGCAAGGGTGCTGGTGGCGCCCGTCATCCTCCCCGTCGTCCTCTGACGAAGAGCAGCTCTCTTCGGGGGCGCTGGGGTGCTGAGGCCTGGGCACCGGGGAGGAGCGTGGCATGAGAGCCCGGGCTGGGGGATCTTCCTCTTCCTCCTCCTCCTCTCCGTCTTCTTCTCCGTCGTCTTCCTCCTCCTCCTCCTCCTCCTCCTCCTCCTCCTCCTCCTCC